ATGCCGACAGCCTATGAGGTTATTGACCAAACAGAGGAGTTTTCCGGAGTGAGATCGACCACAGGTGAACAACACATTGATTTGCGATCGAGCCGCATCAAAAGAGACGTGAAAGATTGCACGCGCCTGATAGATTGGCTGGAATTACATGATCCATTCCCCACATGCAATGAACTGAGATCGATATCCACTGGTTTGGTTGGAGGGCCCAAAATTAATTGCGACAAAGCAATTGAAATTGGAACAACTGCAATGAAGTCAATGGTAGGGATCAGTCTAGCAGATTTAAAATTGAAGCGTTCAAATCGAGTCCAGACTTTAGCTGTTATGAACCGAAGTGTAGAAATCCATGGAGAAATGGTCACTGCGACCATACGACCTTACTTTTCCAACGAATAGTTGTACTGAGTGCCAATGAGGAAGCGACGCGTAATGCATTTTGTTACGAATTGGCACCTTTTCCATTGTCCTTATTCGATAATCAAGGTTTCATGAGAAAATCGAAGAAATTCGATTTATATAAATCGTTGATACCAATGGCAGCCGATCAATTCGCTTGGACTGGAAGCAGAGTAATTATCGATGGTGGATTTTTATTGCATCGTGTAGTATGGTCGCTGAGGAATACCTATACCGACATATTCAAAGCCTGTGAGACTTACATTCGAAGGCATTATGGTTTAAATTGCATTGTGGTTTTTGATGGATATGGAGACGATTATTTAGGTGCAAAAAATTATGAGAGGATGAGACGAACGTACAAACATTTCGGAAGTGATGTGATGTTCACAGAGGATATGGTGGCAACCATGAATCAAGTCAAATTTCTGAGTAACGACAAGAACAAACGCAGACTGATCGAATATCTCTCGAGATACATTGAAACCGCTGGCATTGCCGTCAAGCAAGCAGATCATGATGCTGATCAGTTAATTGTTATCACAGCTATTGCCGAAAGTATCCAGCATGATAAAGTCGTGATCGTGGGTGAAGATATCGATCTTGTCGTTCTCATGATTGGATTAACACCTGCGGATCGAAATATAGATTTTTTCAAACAAGGACGAGGAAAAACAGTAGATGTCATGTATTCATCAGAAGGAAACGCAGCAAAAAGAGACAATTCTTTTTGCTCGTGCTTTTACTGGCTGTGACACCACGAGCGCAATTTTCCAACGAGGGAAAAATAGCATTTTCCATCTCCTCAGAAAAAAGCTGAATTTACTGAAGGACATACGAGTTTTTTACGATCCTGAGGTTTCAAGACAATCCATTGATGATGCAGGAGAACGTCTGATGTTGGCATTATATGGAGTAACAATTGAAGATACCCATCTTGATAATTATCGTTTCAAGCGTTTTCAAACATCAGTTGCTCGAAGAAAATCAGCGTTCGTCGTACGAAAAAAATGCAAGGATTCTTTTTTGTTGCAAATTTCGCCCCCAACAAGATGCATATAATAAGATTCTTCTCAAATGAATTCTAAGACGTGAAAATAGCTAAAAACTAAGACTACTTCGAAAAGTAAAATTTTTTGGTTTACATAGCTACAAAATAAACAAAAAAGGTCTAAAAAATTGGTTGCATCATGAAAAATATTCTTCTTCTTGAAGTTCTCAAATAATGTGTGATTTTTGGGGGATTTTTAATTCTATTTTAAATAACAGAAAAAAATCACTGGCGCAACATAAAAAAAACGACGAAATCGAGGGTTTTCGGGATCCGAGTTTCGGAGTTTGACAGCGCGTGCAAGCTAAACAACTGACATGACGATAAATGTTGTTAGGATCATTTGTGTAGATAATTTTACGATCTACAAAAAAGGTACGTATAGTTTGTTACTCTATCTTGCTTGGTTTTCGAGATATTTGAGAAAATACAAAGAAAGTCGCGTTTTTTGTTTATAATATTGTTAATAACTTTCTATTTCCCGTTAATTATGCGAAGCAAAATTAATCCCACTTATAGTACCTCAAACCAAAGCGATTCATTCTGATTGCAACCTGGGAAGACTAATTGGAAGGTTCGATGTCTAATATGACTGGCCTATTAATAAAAATATTTACGTGGAGTTTTCTGAAAAGTGTATAGCTACTAAGATTTAACTTCACTTTAAACAAATTTTGTTTTATGTGTTTTATGTTAGTATTAACAGTCTATATTTAACTTACTTCACTTGGAAGTTCTAACAACTATAGTTAAATTATAACCACTTCCTGTAAACGTTCTTATAATTTAGGGAGTTATAAGTACGGATATTACTAAACCCGAAAGATTGGAATTTGACTAATCAAAACAAAAGGGACTAAAATTTCTTTGTCCTGATTGGTCAAATTTCAATCTTGAATCTCAATCTTCAATGCGTAGTCTGATACGGGCTTTAGGGCTGTGTTCCGATTCCCCACCCGGGTGCACCTGATATTATAGTATACGTGACATATACTATAATATGGGGTGCACCCGGTTAGGGAACCGGAACACAGCAGAGGGTGACGTGTTAGTGTAGTCTATGTTTCACTAGATGTAATCACAGTAATGGAGATGTACTGGGCTCTTTATATTGAACGGGATTGGCGTATAATATAACCTATAAAATATAGAATGACCTATAAAAATGACCGTTTACGATGCGCAAGCAAATCTGCGCGGTTGACTTAAGAACAAAAGACTGTCTCTACTGTATGTAAGTATACTGTGGTAATACATACTTTTTGGGGTCACAATTTTTTGGTACGGTATATAAAGCCCATATCAGACTATGCATTGAAGATTGAGATTTAAGATTCAAGATTGAAATTTGACCAATCAGAATAAAGAAATTTTAGTCCCTTTTGTTCTGATTAGTCAAATTCTAATCTTTAATTTTTAATCCTCCATTTTCAATGCGTAGTTTGATACGGGCTTAAGGGAGTTAGCGGTTTAGTAATATATAGAAGTATGTGTTATAGACGAAAAGTGTTTGTGTGTGTTGTGACGTCCCGTCATTTTTCGAAACCATATTTTAACTAATAATTAAGTACCGCATCTATTTCTGCATTATGCCTATGGAATATAGAACAATTATTTAACCATCTGCTTTTATTTCCGTTATTAATCAATTTCATTCATTGCTTTTTGTTCTAGTTCCATATGGTTATTTAACTTAGAAATTAACTATATTTTAGTTCTTTTAATAGTAATAATCGATTGCGCAAGGAATTGAAGACTCCTTGGACCGACCAACCAGAAGACTTTATTTAGAACTAGGTAGTTGCACAGTAGTAACTTTCTAGAACTGACCGGCGGTTACTTTAACAAAAGGCTCGCGAGCGAACTTTAACATAATCAGCGATACTAATACTTAACTTTAAGATTTTAATTAATTATATATATGAATATATAATAAGTATCTTTGAGTAAACACGAAGAATATAATTAACATAAATAAAATAAGGAATATGCACACCACTCTTTATGGAATCGTAAAATGCGCGCAATAATAATTTGTTAAAAACATTTTTCTTACATCCTTTGCGAATAATTATCAACTTTCAATATTATCCGAATTTTAATTATAAAATAAAGAACAATAATTTGATAACTTCATGATAATTAATTAAAAACAAATTATTATAAAACGTTTCCATATAGGGAGCATTACTATACTATGTACTATCACTACACTATGAATTAATATGCTTGGTAGTAGCCTTAGCCATGCGATTGCGAATAGTACATAGAATATTTAAGAAACCTACATTTATGGGATCATGGATATATAGTACATGTATAACAATAATTCGCGATAGCTTCTTTTAGTCATAGAATACTAAAACTTGTAATCAACTACCAGATTTGAAACAAATTTAACAAGTGATTCCATAAATTAATATTCATAAGCATTAATATAGCTTTCTCATATTATCCTATAGTTTTTCATATTATACCATAGCTTTTTCCATATTATATTATAGCTTTTCGTATTATACTATAGTTTTTATATTATATTATAGCTTTAACATTGTAAAACTATCCGAGATGAAAGAAAAGCGTATAGAAGATCCATCCGCGACACCTGATACAGCGAGCGATAAGCAGGTGCGTAGATCCGCGACGTAGATGCCAAAAACATAAACAATCGATAAGGATACTGCTAATCGATAGACAATACTTAGAAAAAGTTTCATCATAGATTTTCGTAGATCTTCACCTTAATGAATTTCTAGAACGCAAACTAAATTCTCAGAACGATCTGCACACGGGCCGCAACTCCTTTGATTCTTAATAGTATATAAACTACGGATATCAGTCCTTAGCACTCGCAGTGCGGCAGCGCCTCTTGTCAGATCATCTTAGTCTAGTTTTCATTCATTATACTGTCAGTCTCGCATTAAATTCATAAGTTCAATTTGTGTAAAGTTCGGAATAAAAGACTTTGAGCATATACGTGCGTACATCAATCCAGCCTATCTCATCCACGACCGAGGTCTTTGCATATGAGAAAAAAAGGCTTAAAACAAGTACAAAGGACATTGAGTTGAAGAAAGATTACTTGTGACGACATAGTAAGTACCTGCAGTTACTAATACCCCCTGTTTCGGCTGGTAATAAATCTTAGAAAAATTGCTAGATAACTCAATCTTTAATAACTGAACGAATACAATGAATATTAATTGCTACAACCTCTTACGCCTTGATACACCGTTCGCGCTAACAGCGTTCGCGCGCGCAGATATCTTACAACGAACACGCTACTACTTCGATGCGCCGCCGCTCGCGCCCTTACCGATATGTCTCGTACACAACATACCGCCCACCAAATTCAAGTCACTAATTTCCTTATCATTTGAAGAAGAAGGTAGCTTACAGAGCTTAGTAATAGAACGTTTGAAATCACCGCTGGAAGTTCGAACCGTAACGACACGAACCCAACCATCTTCTCCGGAATGCAACTTGACAATTCGTCCTAATTTCCATCTTAGCGGAGAGAGACCTTCTTCCTTTAATATTACAAGGTCATTTATGAAGGTTGTGGTATCTTACATTTCGTGTGAGCTTGGAGATCAGAAATATATTTCGCCGCCCACCGTTTCCAAAAATGTTGAACGACTTGTTGCACCAACTGCCATCGATTTAATCGATTCATCTTGACATCGTCGAAATTGACGTCCGTCAATCCAGTCAAAGATTCTCCAACCAGAAAATGTGCTGGAGTGAGTGGCTGAATGTCCGAAGAATCAGCCGACAATGATGAAAGAGGTCTTAAATTTAAACATGCTTCTATCTGCACCAATACTGTTGTTAATTCCTCGAATGTAAAAAGAACGTTATCCGTGATACGCTTAAGATGGTATTTGCAAGATTTCACTCCTGCTTCCCAAAGACCTCCCATGTGCAGAGACCCAGGAGGAACGAACTTCCACTCAATGCCTTCATTAGCAAGCTCTACACCAATATTTCCCTCAGCTTCTAACTTGGCAAATTGGTACATTTCCTTCAGTTCGCGATTCGAACCCACAAAATTTGTTGCATTATCACTGTATAACGTACATGGGCGTCCGCGTCTACCTATGAATCTGCGGAGCGTTGCGATAAAGGCAGCTGAAGTTAATTCGCTGGTGGCTTCTAGATGAATCGCTCTCGTTGCAAAGCAAACAAACAAGGCAACATAAGACTTGTTGGGCTTACGTCCTCGTCCTTTGTTGACTAGAGTTGTAATGGGTCCGGCAAAATCAACGCCAGTGATTGAGAATACTCGACTAGGACGTACTCGATCCATGGGCAAGGAACCCATAACTTGCGCCAATTCGCGTGGATTGGTTCTAGCGCATCGTACACAGGAGTGACAAACTTGCCTGGCCAAATCACGACCCCTGAGTGTCCAATAACGCTCTCTAATTGATGATAAAAGAAGGAGTTGACTTGCATGTAACAAACGCACGTGTTCCCTTCCATACAATAATTTTGAGAATCGATTTTTGACGGTAATATGATGGGATGCCTTTGTTCGAATAGTAAGACTGAATATTGTAGACGGCCGCCCACCCTAAGCAGTCCTTGTTCGTCAAAAAATGGATGTAATCGTAGAAGTTTGCTGAAGATCTTCAAATCGCGATGCCTTTGCAGTGCCGAAATCTTGTCTAAAAAATGAAAAGATTGCACGTAAACAATGAGACGTCTATGAGCACGTTGCAATTCGAGAGATGTTAATCGTCCTAACTCTCTCTCTCTCTCGCTCGACCTGCCTCGTAAGTTGATGACGAATCGCACACAATAAGTCAATACTCGTTCGACCTTTGTGAGAGAAGAATACTTGTCCAGAATCTCTTGAAATATAGCTTGCTTGTCTCTGATTAGATGACAAGTCTGCTCTTTCTTGCGCTCCTCTGCTCCGGCTTCTTCCAAAATTTCGCTCGACTCTTTGGCCTGCAGCAGTCCATTGCACAATGTCGGACTTATTTCCTGCAACCAATTTAGGCCCGTCCACCATAACTTGGATCCTTGCAATTGGTGTGGACTAACCCCACGAGATATTAGATCAGCTGGATTTTCCTTTCCTCTGACGTGTCCCCAATGTTCCGCAGGAACCCTCTCCACGATTTCCACTACCCGATTCGATACGAATGATTTCCAACATGACACATCTCCATGTATCCAGTACAATGCAACCTTAGAGTCCGACCATGCTTGCAAACCGTCTACTTTCGTACGTATGCACTTCGTTACACTGGTGATCAGCCTCGCCAAGAGAACTGCGCTACATAATTTCAAGCGAGGTATGGAGGTCGGTTTAACTGGAGCTACTCGTGATTTGGAGCAAAGTAATCTGGATGAAAGCACGCCTTCCTCGTTTTCCACTTGAACGTTTAGACATGCACCATATGCGTGCTCGGACGCGTCGCAAAATCCCTGTAAATATGTTTTAGTTGGTGCATAACATCCAATTACATTCCTAGGTATGGTAAGCGCCTCCACAGCATTCAATTCTTGTTGGAATCGCTCCTATTTCTCGACAAGTAAGCTGGGAAGACACTCGTCCCAACCGCATGCAAGTTGCCAAGTTTCTTGCATAATTATCTTTGCGGTCGTCAAGATAGGTCCCACTAAACCTAGAGGATCAAAAACCTTGCTGATGGCTGACAATATTTGCCGCTTCGTGTTGGCTGATTCAATCTTCTCTATAGAAAATTGAAATTTATCGTTGTTGGGATTCCACTCAAGACCTAGGGTTTTAACCGTATCGCTGTCATCAATACTTAGCTTAGAGAATCCTTTTCGCCTCTCGGAAGGAACATGTGATAAACTGTCGATCCGATTGGAGCGCCACTTGTGAATCTCAAATCCACCGCTTTGTAACAATACGTCGAGCTGTTTCTGTAATATGACCGCTTCTTGAATGTTACGAGCGCCAGTCAGAATATCGTCTACATACATATCGTCCAAAATAACTTATGTCGCATTAGGATATAATTCCTTTGCCTCCTCTGTGAGTCAGCGAACACATTTGATTGCCAAATACGATGAACTCGCTACACCATATGTCACCGTATTTAGTTGAAACTCTCATACGGTTCCATAGTAGAGAATCTCCACAATATACGTTGGTATTTCCTATCCGCATGATACATGACTATTTGGCAATACATTTTCCGCAAATCTCCGACAAGCGCTACGTTATGAAACCGAAAGCGTATGATTATTTCAACCAAGTTTGTTGCAACGTGGGTCCTACGCAAAGTACATCGTTCAAAGACAATTTCGAATCTGTCTTGCTAGATGCATCGAATACAGTGCGCAATTTCGTACTAGAACTCGCTTCTTTAATTACTCCGTGATGCGGTAAGTAAATTATCGGATGTTGATCAACCGGCATGATATCGCTTACTAAAGACATATGATCTAGATCTAAATATTCTTGCATGAATTCTGAATATCGCTCATATAAAATCTTGTCACGCTGGAATCGACGCTCCAATTGATTTAACCGCCTAATCGCAACCGATCTTGATTCGCCCAACTCGCTCGGGTCTCGGCGAAAGGGCAACCTAACTGTGAAACGACCATCGCTATTACGAGTTGTGGTACATTTGAAATACTTTTCGCATTTTAATTCTTCCTCGGAAAACCTTCGCTCATTGTCGGGCGGCACGAATTCTAGTTCCCAAAATCTTTCTAAGTTACGATTTAATGTCTCGCAGTGGTCGACGAAACAAAGTAAAGTAGTGATATTGTCACGATTGCCACTTAATCTACTTGCCGGCATAATCGGAATTAGTCCCGCAACCACCCAACCTAGCTTTGTGTTTTGCAACACCGGTTGATCCTTACCGGCGTCCATCTTTCCCGCCTCTAACAAATCAAAAAACAATTCTGTTCCTACTAACATGTCAATTGAACTTGATTTATAAAATTCGGAATCCGCAAGCTTGATATTCGACGGAAATTATAACGAATTTCGATCTATCTCGACTGATGGCAATTTTTTGGTGATCGTGGGTATTACTAAACAATGAACATTTGTTTGAAAACCGGAATGTTTAGATTGTATAACTACATCATAACTTTGACTTACTCGACTCTCTAATTCATTCAAACCCGTGACAATTTCCGACATCCGAGCGAGTTTTATTCCTAGCTTATTACATGCTGAGAATGTTACAAAATTAGCTTCGCTTGCGCTGTCTAACAGAATCCGTATCGCTAATCTTGCTCCATTGTGACATACTGTATTAAGTATGGCAGTAGCCATAAGCACTTGTCGCCTTGCAGGAATATTCGTTGAATAATATACTAATACATTGCTGCTTATTTTGCTGCCTGCATCAGGCATTGCCCTTTCGATGACATTTTCTTCCCTCGGACGATCCTTGTCCCCTCCTGAACGATGACACAATGTGTTGTGTCTTTTTGAACATTCTTTGCAGGATCCCATCCTGCATGTCCTTACGAAATGATCGTTACAAAGGCAGTTGCTGCACAATCTTAGTCGATGTATCTTCTTGATTCTTTCATCAATGGACATAGTTAGAAAGAGTGAGTCTCGATTGCGCACATTACCGATCGGACACGACAATATTTCCCAATTGGACACAAGCTCGATCGGACACAGTCCCGATCGGACACAGACCCGATTGGACACAGTTTCGATCGGACACATACTGTTGCAATCGGACACAGTCCCAATCAGGCACAGGCTCGATCGGACACAGACCCAATCGGACACAATTCCGATCGGACACATATGGTTGCAATCGGACACAGATCCGATTGGGTCTGTGTCCGATCGAGCCTGTGTCCGATTGCAACAGTATGTGTCCGATCGGAACTGTGTTTAATTGGGTCTGTGTCCGATCGAGCCTGTGTCCGATTGCAACAGTATGTGTCCGATCGGAACTGTGTTTAATTGGGTCTGTGTCCGATCGAGCCTGTGTCCGATTGCAACAGTATGTGTCCGATCGGAACTGTGTTTAATTGGGTCTGTGTCCGATCGAGCCTGTGTCCGATTGCAACAGTATGTGTCCGATCGGAACTGTGTTTAATTGGGTCTGTGTCCGATCGAGCCTGTGTCCGATTGCAACAGTATGTGTCCGATCGGAACTGTGTTTAATTGGGTCTGTGTCCGATCGAGCCTGTGTCCGATTGCAACAGTATGTGTCCGATCGGAACTGTGTTTAATTGGGTCTGTGTCCGATCGAGCCTGTGTCCGATTGCAACAGTATGTGTCCGATCGGAACTGTGTTTAATTGGGTCTGTGTCCGATCGAGCCTGTGTCCGATTGCAACAGTATGTGTCCGATCGGAACTGTGTTTAATTGGGTCTGTGTCCGATCGAGCCTGTGTCCGATTGCAACAGTATGTGTCCGATCGGAACTGTGTTTAATTGGGTCTGTGTCCGATCGAGCCTGTGTCCGATTGCAACAGTATGTGTCCGATCGGAACTGTGTTTAATTGGGTCTGTGTCCGATCGAGCCTGTGTCCGATTGCAACAGTATGTGTCCGATCGGAACTGTGTTTAATTGGGTCTGTGTCCGATCGAGCCTGTGTCCGATTGCAACAGTATGTGTCCGATCGGAACTGTGTTTAATTGGGTCTGTGTCCGATCGAGCCTGTGTCCGATTGCAACAGTATGTGTCCGATCGGAACTGTGTTTAATTGGGTCTGTGTCCGATCGAGCCTGTGTCCGATCGGGACTGTGTCCGATCGAACATGTGTCCGATCGGGAAATACTGTTGTGTCCGATCGGTAATGTGTGCAATCGGGACGATCCCGCTAGAAACTTATCACTGGTTAAAAAATGTTCACGCTAGAAACTTATCACTGGTATAAAAAATGTTCACCGTGGCATAAATAGCACCTGACTTGTTCAGCTGACGTCGCTAGCGTTGCTAATTTCGTATTTTCCATTTTCTTTGTTTGATTGCGAGTTTTTGTCCTACTCTTTTCTGTTCCAATTTTATGCGTACCGCTCTTATCCTTAGACCTTGCTTCAACACGCTCTAACATTTGACACCTTTTCTGTAAGAAATCGGTTAAAGCATTTAATAAAATTTCATTTGTGTTACCTTCCTGTTCCCAAGCACGTAGTGTTGTCACATCCAACTTTGCTTCAACTATGTGGATTATAAGCTCGTCCCATGAATCGAGCGGCAATTTCAGCACCTTCAAAATTCGCAAATGCTTCGAAGTGTAATCGACCAACCCTTGAATCGCATTTGCTGATTCTCTTTCCACCTTTGGCATTGTGAAAAGACACTGAATATGTTTTTTCTTAATAGCCCTTGGATCATCAAATCGCTTATTCAATAGTTCCCATGCGATTTTATAATTATCTTCTGTCAGCTCGATTGCTTCGATAATTTTAGCTGCATTGCCAGTCAATGACGTAGCTAAATATTGAAATTTCTGAATGGCTGGAATACTCTCATTATTATGTATTAATGACTGAAACGTTTCCGAAAATCTTTTCCACTCTTCCATACGACCGTCAAAGGTGGGAAGCTTGACCACTGGTAATTTAACCTTTGACTCATGGTTACTGTTACCGTTTGTGACTGATATCCGACGAATAAGCTCTGTTTGTTGCTGCAGCATTTGCGCTAATATCTCGTTACTCGCTGGCGCTTGTGCCCTGAACCCTGCCGATTCTATATTATTTAACCATCGTTTTAAACATATTTTCGTGCTTACATACTTTTCGTCGAAATCGGCGTCCTCTGACAAGTCCGCGATCGTGCCCTCGTTGTCTAACGCGACGATTTGCTGTTGTATTGCTTCAAACTCACTATGAATTTCGTCCAACCTTGCTAGGAATACTTTAATTTTTTCCGTGACAACCATAGATTTTTGAACTTGATCTATCTTAGTTCTTAGTCTTGTCAATTTAGCCTTAATGAATCCTCGCTTTTAGTGCAGCGCAACGATCGATTCCATGTTTCTTGGTTATGTTAATTCTGTGGACTATATTTACTGTTGTATCTCGTTTCAATCCGTATCCGGCTCGAAGGACCAATGTTTTGGCTGGTAATAAATCTTAGAAAAATTGCTAGATAACTCAATCTTTAATACAACCTCTTACGCCTTGATACACCGTTCGCGCTAACAGCGTTCGCGCGCGCAGATATCTTACAACCATAGACATAGTATATCTAGACCGAGCGTTTGCCTTTATTTAAGGAGTAGGGGTAAAGATGCACGTAGAAAAAGACATACTCTGTTTCGTGCCCCTTGCGTTCTCTCTCGCTCGCACGTAGCATAGCGTACTCTTTCGCTATGCTACATGCGAGTGAGAGAGAACGCAAGGGGCACGGAACAGAGTATGTCCTTTTCTACGTGCACCTTGGCTCTCACTCCTCAACACTCGGTCTAGATATACTATGTCTATGCTTACAACGAACACGCTACTACTTCGATGCGCCGGCGCTCGCGCTACTCACTCGATGCGCCGACGCTCGCGCCCTTACCGATATGTCTCGTACACAACACCCCTTATATTCTCAAATTTTATTTTAGAATCAACAATTGACTGACAGCCCATTTATCCCAAATCATTATCTTAATTCCTATTCCATCACTTTAATAATAAAAGAAACTCCTGTCAAGCATTAGCATGTTGTTGACAGTTTCCTAGTCAGTCAATTTTAATAACCCCCCAATAATAATTTATTTTCCTGCAATCACTTATGTTAGGAACATTCCTAATATCAATACTAGACAAATTTAAACTTTGCTTAAAACCTATACTGTTGTTGTCACTCAGGGTGATCCAATCTTTGAAACCCAATTGCTGTGGGTTTATTGCCCCGGTGACACTCTACCCTTTTCCTGAATTTCCATCATCATCGAGCATCGAAGCATGCCCTAGACCAACACCCGCCCATCATCACCCTATATAATTCCATCGTGTCTGTCGAGCATATTGTGTCCTTGACAATCATCGTCATCGAGCTCATAGTGGGCCCTTGATTGACGCCTTCCTTATAACCTTCCAATAAAACTGACAGCAGGAGGTTAAATAAAATACTAAATATACCATCATTCTAATCTCACTCGGACGTGGTCCAACCTTCAAAATCTGGTTGCCGAGGTTTATTGCCCCGGCGACACTCTACCCTTTCTCCCAAATTTCCATCGTCATCGAGCATCTAAGCATGCTCTAGACCGACACCCTCCCATCATCACCCTATATAATTCCATCGTCATCGAGCATCGAAGCATGCTCTCGATCGACATTTTTCCCATATCTTAGGCCCTGCGCACAATAGAGAAAATATTAGGAATAGGAATAAAATATTAAATATCAGGAGGAGCAATTTGGAATTATTTTACTTCAAACAAGGAAACGGAATGGATTAATTATTATTTCTAATTTCTATTTTTTTATTTCATTATGCGTTAATCCATTCCGTTCCCTTGTTTGAAGTAAAATAATTCCAAATTGCTCCTCCTGATATTTAATATTTTATTCCTATTCCTAATATTTTCTCTATTGTGCGCAGGGCCTTAGACCTTCCTTTGGAATTAAAATTTAGAATTGTATGAAACCAGTAAAATCTAGTATTGATATTAATCAAAGACACTTTTCCATAATTAAAAACCCGATCCCTTAATAAAACCATTTTAATTCCATCTAATTCCAATTCTTATAAATAATTGATATTTTTTCTTAATTCCTTCTCTTATTATAATATTCTTCTTTAACTTATTAATTATTTTTCTAACTCTTATTATTTAAAGCATTATGTTACTCTCGAATCACATATTGTTCGAAACGGCTGCACGTGTAGCAGTCTTGCATTTGTTACTCTCCGCTTAATTAACGAGAGCATGAGTAGGTAATATCAATCAAGCCGCGTTCAGCAGAGAAAACCGCTTAGTAGCAATCGAATGTGATTGGTTTTTACTTTTAGAACCAACGAATCAACGTTAAGTATTGACAAGACGATAACTGAGCGCTTTCTCTGCTGAACGCGACCAATGTTTACCTTCTCTAATTTTGAAATTTAACGCGCAAGGCTCATGTCGGTTGTTCGAAATTATCACCTTCAAAGCCATCATGAATCATTGTGACTGTTAACTTGTCAAAACCAAACGACAAAACAGAACCGCGCAAGAGAAACAATAATAGTGATGAAGAGTAACATAACAATTAAAGTCACCCCCACTGCGACACTCGAGCTGGGTTTCTAGACATTAGAACGTTCTAGAAAACGCCACTTATAAAACCAGCGACCGTGAGTGACGCGGCGCCAGATCGCTTTCGTATCGTTCACATTCGAAGTCATCTACGCATTCGCTCCTTTTTTTGAAGTTGCTTGCTTCAGCTCACATACGTGAACAGTTAAAACATTTGCGAAATCCTTTTATTTGAGGAGCTTTTGTACATATTTCTGTAAATATACGTTGATTTAATTTCCTTTGTTAAATTTGTGGTTTTTTTGCTATACAATCTCGACAGTTACATTGTGTGCATGTTTCCTACGTGTGATTCGTGAAATTATTGATTGAGCTATCTAACACATATGAATATTTGCGCATGCGTATATCCCTATATCTAACATCTAGTAAAAACTCCTAGTAAAGATTAGTTCCGTGCCTTACGTCATTCCCCTGGAATCCACTAGATCAGTCCTAGCTCTCGACGTCCCTGGGGTATAGAGCTCCGTAAAGTTAGCCGGACCACTTTAACTTTTTAATAATTAAAATTATCTAATCATTTGGTGGTCGTTTGGTGATGATTGGTAGTCTAATTAAAACGTTTGGTAGTCAATCGTTTTTTTTTTTAAATTAAATAATTATTAAATAATTATTAAATAATAAAATATTGGTGTAAAGTTACCCGGACATTTTTTAATTTTTAGTCTAATCGATTAAATGAGAGCTTATTTAATGCAGAATCGTTAGGTGGTCACAAATGTTTTAAGGTACATTTTCACGAGCGGCTGAAATCGATCGTTTGAGCGACAAAATGGATCACGTGATCGAAATGGACGAATGAGTGACAATGGTCTGGCCGCTGATTCGTCCATTTCGATCACGTGATCCTTTTTGTCGCTCAAACAATCGATTTCAGCGGCTCGTAAAAATGTACCTTTATTTACAACGTTTGATGGTCCATAATTTATCCAATAAGTAAAAAAAGCCATGTGCGGTTAGGTAGTGAGGATGACTAAAAGGGCCAATTTCACCAAGTCCGGTTAGATGAATCGACGGTTAAAATTAGCAGGGTGGTTAACTGAAATGACATGAATGCTTGGTTTTTCTTCACCTCTATTTTCTGTTAGCCACCCTGCTAATTTTAACCATCGGTTTATCTAACCCATTAATATACAGGGTGGTCCATTTTAAAAGAGCCAGTCAAATATCTCGAAAAATATAGAAGATACGGAAAAACGTTTCAGACAAAAGTTGTTTGGTTCGATGGGGGACATAAGATGGTGCCATTTATGTGACCTTGGATAGTCATTTGAAGGTCACATGAAGGTCACTTTCAATTTCTTAAATGGAAACCCCCATTTTTCATTGCATATTCTTATAACTTATGTCGAGAGCTTTCCAATAGGTTACATTAGTCACAATGTGTGTGTACACAAGAGTATGTATATCTACAGACACGATGCTTGTATGTGCACATAATTAAATGCATTTAATCGATTAGACTAAAAATTAAAAAATGTCCGGCTAACTTTACACCAATATTTTAATTATTTAATTAAAAAAAAAGATTGACCACCAAACGTTTTAATTAGGCTACCAATCATCATCAAACGACCACCAAACGATTAGATAATTTTAATTATTAAAAAGTTAAAGCGGTCCGGCTAACTTTACGGAGTTGGGGTATAGTCGGTGGAAGCAGGTTGCCCTATAAAAAATAGAGAGCTATCCTTTTCTCACTAATTGAGGTATAGTAAGAAAAGAGCGTTGTCGAGACGTAAGGGCCTCAGCACAATAAAAGGAATAAGGAACAGGGAATAGAGAACAGAGAACAACGGCATTGGAGGGAATGCGCGCACAACACTTGTGTGCGCATTTCCTCCAATGCCGTTATTCTCTGTTCTCTATTTCCTGTTCCTTATTCCTTTTATTGTGCTGAGGCCCTAACAGTGTGTGTGCTGTGTGCGCATGTGTGTGTACATACTTTTCGGGGCCATGTATTTTGTAGGAATTAACGATCTAGTAATATATAGAAGTCTGTGACTGGCAGTGAATTTCAGAACACAATCTAGGGGAGAACCTTAGAACATATAGGGCCAATTTCACCAAGTCCGGTTAGATTAAGGGTGCATCCCGATGGAGAAAGAATAAAAATATACCACATACAATTGTATCTATTTTTTAAATTTGTAATAAGAATAATTTAACCTAATCTATTTTATAAGTGTGTGTCACGTTAAATATAAAATAATATAAATGGAAGGGGAATAGCAGGCTGAAAAGTATCGGAAGAAAGTGAGAAAGAAAATCGTAGTTGCCTCTCTCTTGTGAGTAACTACACATACAAGCATCGTGTCTGTAGTATACATACTTTTGTGTACACACACTTTGGCCGCATTCGGCAGAGAAAACCGCTTAGTAGCAATCGAATGTGATTGGTTCTTACTTTTAGAACCAACGAATCAACGTCAAGTGTTGACAAGATCAGATAACTGAGCTTTCTCTGCTGAATGCGGCCATTGTGACTAATGTAACCTTATTTTTCATTGGGCCAAACCGGTAAGCCGTGCATGCGCACTTTTGAGCAGTTTCTCATAAAAGAGAGGCAACTATAATTTTCTTTCTCACTTCCTTCCGACATGTTTTTCTATCGGGAAACAAGACATTCCCCTTCCATTTATATATGTTCTAAGGTCTGGGAAGAACTTTGCTTTCAGGTTAGATTAGTTCAGGTTCAGATCAAGTGAATTATCTGTTGTGGCACAGGACTAATGATTATTTTTATTTAAAATTGTATTTGTGGTTGTTTCAAATCTGCATAAAGATGTTGTCATTCAGGTGTAGATATAAGGCGGTAAGCCTTACTCAAAATTTATCGAAAGCATTGAAATTTTTGTCGACGCATTCAAATGCTCCGGAAGCGAACAGCAACGAGCCGGAACGTTAGCACCAATTATCTAACCACCTACTTTCTAATCTGTTGGAAACAAAAAAAGGTTAATACGTATTTTCGTTTTTCAGAATTCCGCGTACTGGAACTTTACTCGCAAAAAAGAGCTATGCAGGAGAAGCGAAAGACACGAAAAATTTCCGTACCACCACCGAGAGCTACGGATATGCCTGTCGACCAGGACTGGCCGTCAGTATGGCCAGGTGCCCGAACTTTTCACCCCGCTACGGTACCTCTACCACTGCGTCAAGGATACCAGGAAAAGGGCGTGCCACCCAATAAATACGCTAATGCCGAGCTCATGAAAATACCAAACTTCTTGCATCTAACACCGCCAGCAATTCAGAGGCATTGCGAAGCGTTGAAGCAATTTTGCACAAAGTGGCCTACAACTTTGGAAGATAAAGAAAAGTGTACGAAGCATTTTCCCGTCGAGATTATAACATCCGATTATTGTTATTCTTCGCCAACCATTAGAGATCCACTTGCTAGGATTGTGAGTCTGCAAGTGAAACTATCCTCGCTTTATTTAGACACTCATGCCAAAGATAAATTATTAAGATTATTGGGAAATAAATACAATCCAGAAACAGATATAATAACAATAACGGCTGATAGGTGTCCAACTAAAAAGCAAAATTTAGAATATGCATGGTATCTTCTCACGGCAGTATATCATGAATCTTGGGTAAGTAATGTTAACAACAGTCAAAAATTAATGCAAATAAATGTACAGTTTAATTTTCTTTATCACACATAATTCTCGAATCTTTTATATTGTAGAGAGTGGAACCTTGGGAAGCTGAGAAATCTATAGCAGACATGGAATATTTCGATTGGGACACTAGCCAGAGTCGTACGAGTCTAGTAACTCTGTATATGTGGCCGATATCGCCAACTGATTACGATTACGAAACTATTCCGCATGCGACAGAATATAAAATTGCCGTCTCGGATCTTATAAACAACGGTGAAGATCAATATTCGACCAATAAATACAAAGAAGCCGTAAAAAATTTGTTAAGTCTTAAATGTGACAATAAAGATTGAACCAAAATAGCAAAGCGAATTAAATTCATCATTTTACCAGCAGTACCATCGTTTCCTACGATTTCCGTAAACGAGGAGGGATGTCCTACTTTCAAAATCAATTTGTCATGCACACACAATTTTACGCTCATTAGAAAAAAAGACATACATTATAATAATATAATAATGTAATGAGATTGAAATTGTGTTATCTGTATTTGTATTCGAATTTACCATAATTTAAGTTTTACTATTTACTTTAACAATTGGAGCATGTACGGACTCGAGAATGAGACCGTTATCATTTTTCCCGATATTTACATATATAATGCATCGGAAACGTCAAGATACCTTATTATTGAAATGTGAGTAAACATATAGACATAAAAAAAAATGCTGAAAATTTCATTGTTACTTGGTGTATTTGATACAATCCTTTGTGAAATTCATACAAGATCGGAGACAACTACAAGCCAAGCATCATCTTGCAGAAATCCACCTCTATGTTACTTATCGGATACATACAAGATGGAATCAAAGAGCATGTTTTTACCTTACACAAATTCTCACAATTATGGCAGGCAACAGTCGAATCTTCAACGTAGTTACTATAGTGGATTCGACTCATCTACATTACCAGCTTATTACTCGTAAGTAATAATTTTAAATAAGTAAGAGTAAGTAATAATAAAGTAAAATAATAAAAAGTAATTTTTAAATATCAATATAATTATAATTAATATTTTTGTTGCAATTATATTATAGTATGAAGTATAAGTATAGAATTATATCATAGTTGATAATAATAATATTACATATATATTTTAGGGCTTTTGATCCCATCAGTGTGTTAGCATCATTAGCATTTTTGGCATTTCTATTGCAATCATTCGCTTCGCTCTTTGATCGTTCGAGATCAATTTTGCCAACGATAATTAGTGGCCGACAATCGACCATGGACTTGACCATTCCAGAAATTTCGAAACATGTGTCGCGCGCTTTGCAAGAATATGTAAGTATTTCAAATTGAATAACATACAGAGTACGAATAATGAAACAGTAAAATATTATAATACATTAATTTTCAGGAAGATCTCAATGAAGATTTAGAGAGCAAATAATTGACAAGATAATGACAATTTTTTGCCATTTACATGTAACTTATATAGCAATTTCTGTCTTTCTTATTGTACAACTGATTTTTTTAACGATTTCTATAAATGATTTATTTTTTTTCTTAAAAATACAAGTAGTCGACATTCTACACACAACAGAAACTCTATATTTCGATTCAAACAAAATCTCTTTTGAATCTTGAATAACTTTTAAAAAATATAATTATACATCTCTCACTCCCTCTCTCATGCACACAAATACATAAAATATAATAATTTACAGTTATACGAAAATTATCGTTTTAATTTTCTTGATATATTGCATTACTACATTTATATATATTTTTCTTTCCAAGCTAAGACATAAGATAATATTAAAAAGTCATTTTATTGTATAGTCAACTTTAAATATATAGTCAAGAGAGGTCTATTTAAGAAATTACAATATTCAGTATTACATATATTTTGTTCGGATTTACTCGATCCTTGTTAAAATTATAACTATTTAGCCTAATATTGATAAGGCCACTATTTTCCCAATGTTAAATTGAAAAGATGGACATCTCAAATTTTGATCTGACATTACCATGGAACTCTAGTAGATGGTAGAGCTGGAGTAGGTCTGTAATAAAATATTGTATTTATATTAAACTATTATTAAAATATTATATATACAGGGCGTCCCAAAAAAGCCACCAGATGTTTTTTTAATAATAAATTCTTTGGCTAAAACGATTTGGAGATAATTTTTTCTCGATGGGTAAATATCAAGAAAGGTCATCATTTTTTGCAATTTTTCATTTTTTATTGTATCTTTGTAACTAAGCCTTAAATTAAAATACTCTCTCTCTCTCTCTTTATTAAACTCTGAAATTAATTGAAAAATGTGGTTTTGTTAATCTTTTAACTCTCTCCACAATGTTTAGTTTGTAAAAAACCTTTCTTTTTCAATAGCTTATATTTCGAAAATTATTGATGCCTCCACTATTTTTACTGAGAAAAAATCGTTCAAATTGACTAGAGAATCTGTTATTAAAAGGACATTTGGTTTTGGGACACTTATTTGTTACTTAGAATTAAATGTAAAATCAAGTAACACTACTGATAATTGAAAGGGAGCCTCTACAGCTGTCGGTATAATTGTTACTCGATTCTTTCAGCAAATCAAAATGAATAAGCAAAGTGTTAATATACAACACATTATCTTGTACAACACATAATTATTTACTTTCCGATTAATGAAAGCACTAAAGCAGCAGAAATTTTGCATAGATTTAGTGCTCAGTTTGAAAAGTTCTTTCAAATATTGGGCAAAATCTTTCAAAAAAGGAAAAACAAAAATCATTCTATCATCTAATTATAAAGTTTTGTCATACGAAGGAAATAAAAGGCTAAATATAAAGTTTTGCATAAGAAATCTTCTGGCTTATGTCACAAAATATTCTTCCAAGTATATTTATATAATTTTAATAAATCTATATTTTGAGTAACTTATGTTTAAAAATTTTTCGAACGTTTTAAAAGCATTGCATTGAAGTAAACAGAGACTATATAAAAGAGATAAATTTAATTTTTTTGTAATTTATCTTTAAGAATAAATTTAAATAAATAAATTTTTGGATTTTAATTTGTATGTGTGTGAATTGCCTCATATTTTGATATTACTTACATGTATTTAGAACATTTATCTATTTTAGAAATACTGTTAACAAATTTTTAATATTCGAATAAAGATGTTAACTTCTTATATTAAAAATTTTGTTTATTATTTACCTCTTTCCAAAAGTAGATTTATGGTATGGATGCGTAGTCGTAAGGCCGCGCCTCTCTTTATTACGTATTACCTTGAGCGCCGCATCCGTTCTTTCCTCGGCATTATTGTATCGAGATGAAGTCGGTGTAAAAACAGTTGTATTACTCTTCAGCTTATTTAAAATTGCAATACTCTTCGCGCTCATTTGAGTAGGCTTCTGCTTATTCATATTCTCCTTATCTACACGACCATTATTCTGTACAATACTTTTATTATTCATTAATAACTTTTTCATCTGTTTCGGGGGTGTGCTGCTGTTTTCGCTGTTTTTATCAGATAGTACACGTTTCATTGTTGTGACTTTTACAGTAGTTTTCTCACGTGGAATTTCTTGCACAGATTTATCATTATTATTTTTATAACTATTACTCTCGTCACCTAAATGAAAGATATTATCGATATTATTACTTTCACTTGCAGCAGCGTCAAAAGTAAAATTCAAAATATTCGTATTCTGATCGTCGCATTCCTCATCATTTGTTTCCGATGTTATCGCAACTGCTGGTATAGGATTATTTAATGGGTCCATTGCAACCGTACTTAAACAAGTAAATACATTGAAATTTTCCTCATTGCTTATTGTGTCTGAATCAGACCATTTGATATTTCGGAAACCTTCAAGCAACTTTATTAATTCTTTAAATTCTAGTTGCATTTTATCAGTCATTGTTCCATAGCCTTTCACCATATTATAATAATTTTGCAATGTATTACTCATTACTTTTGTTATAGTGTTAATTGATTGCCTCTCACATTGCAGGAGACTACAAAATTTCTTCATGTGTTGCTGCATATTGGGAATCCAACATTTCTCAATATCGGAAATTTGTAAAAACAATTTACTCTGTAAATTTTCATCAAAAGATTTAACTTTTAGTTGGGAAGTAGTTATTTCTTGTATTTCTGTCTCAACCGAACATAATTCCTGCCATGTCGCTTGCATTTGTGTTTTAAGGGAATCTCTTTGCCGTTGGAAATAGTGTAAAGATTTGTTGATACGAGATTTTCCACTAGCATTATGTTCTTCCGCTGACAAATCATCGGCAGCTGTTGTCAAATTATGCAGTCTTTCATCCGCATCTTTCTTATAAAGTATTCTGCAGGTTAAAATCTTATCAGAACTTTCCAAAGTTAGCATTTTCTCAATCAAATCCTTCTTCTTTTCATATAACTTTGTAAGCTTACAGTGTGTTTCCAACATCAATTTATTCGGTTTATTTACCAATGATGATCCACTCTCAAAAGCTGCTAATTTTGATTTCAAAATATCTATTTCCTTCTTCTGTTCCTCCACTATCTTGATATAACCAGCAACATGCATTTCACAAGACACATTCTTTTTGGCATATGATTTGATTTTCTTTGCACGATTTGCATATCTTAAAGTATTATATGTATCTTCATAAGTAAGGCTAGAGGGACCAATATTAGCTATCATAACAGTATGGCAATTACCACCAAGTGAATCTTTCAATAGCCTCGTAAGTTTGGAATCTCTATATGGAATATGTTTTATACCATCTGCTAGATTATTTATACAATTTCCAAGGGCCAGTAAAGATTTATTAATGTTAGCACCTTCCTTAAACCTTACACCTTTACAACCAGTAGCTGAAGCTCTTTCAGATCCTGCTAAATCGATCATAGACAGCTTGACTCTCTGCACTTGACTATCCAACTTATTAATTATCTTGATATATACTTGGAAAACTGCATGACTTCTACTACTTTCCTTATTTGCATCTGTTGGATGTTGAGTACGGTTCTTATTACCCTCTGCCAACAGTAATAATAATTCTTCAGCGCTTTGGATAGCAACTGGTTCTAAACCAGCAACTACAACTCCGCATCTACCATCTTCTCTCAAGTGTAATTGGCCTGACTTATGCAACAAGTCTTGTACATTCTCATTATATATTTCCAAGTAAGATACACCTAGATGAAATTCGCGATGTTTGCTTTGTTTCTCGATCTCAGAGAAAAGCTCTGCTACAGTACGATACGTAATACCAAGATCTTCTTTATTGCCCAGCATAGTATGAGTTTTACCAGCACCAGTGGCACCATAAGCAAACACAGAGCAATTGTAACCGTCGAGAAGACTAGTAATCAAGTTTTTGGTACTTCCTTCGAATACATTAGTATTGGTAGATGTCGTGCTAAAAATCCTGTCAAAAATGAACTGCAACTGCTTATTCTGTTTCTTCAGCATGTCTCTACTTTTTTGCGCTACATTGTGAAAGAAAAATGGTGTCTCCCGCTCTTTCGGATCAAAAATCAACATTTTATCATCGACAACTTCAACTACCGTTCTGCTATTATCCTGTAGCTCGCGTTCATTATGTGGGCGAACTCTCACAATTACTTTGATAGATATCTCGGAAGTATCCTCGGTTTGCACAATTGCAGTGCCGCTTGTGCTCGGCTTGACTGATTCGCCACTCTGAAACTGCTTTTTTCCTATCGCTTTCATGGCTTTGCCAGGTGAGAGTATCTTACTGAGATCCTTCTTGTTGAAAACCATAACCTTTATGCTCTTGTAGGCTGTGAAATATTAATAGTTTTTATTTAGTAAAATACAGTACCCAAGAAAAATAGGTATAATATTGTTAGATATAAATATGTACAGGGTATTAAAAAAAAATGGTCACATGTTTTGAGAGCAGGTAATATTGATCAAAACAAGAAAAATAAGTCTAATTAACATGAATCCTACAATTAATATCTTCGAAGACACATATCTTTCTATTTGAGCTTTTTGTCCTTTTCTTATTGTTGTGTCACCTTAACCTTTAGATTTTTGGCTATGGGGACACTTAAAGACCTTGGTATATTCAACACCCATCAATGACGTACAAACACTGCAGGATCGTGTTTTCAATGCGTGTCAGCAAATCCAAGAACAGCCAGGTTTATTTGAAAGAATGCGTGATTTTCTGAGATGTAAAACTGAAAAATATGTGACAATAGATGGGAACCACATAGAGCACCTCTTATAATGCTGGCTGCAAAACTAGTAAATACTTTTTTGTTTACTGCATTATAGAGATGACACAACCAATAAAAAAAAGACAAAGAGCTCAAATATGTAGAAAGATAGCCTGTATCTTCAAAGATCTTAATTGTAGGATCCATGTTAATTAGACTTTTTTTTCTTGTTTTGATCAATACTACCTGCTCTTAAAATATGTAACCCTTTTTTTTAACAGTCTGTATAATTAATTGTGAAAAAATCTGTTAACATATGTAATTTTATATATGATTATAATTAATTCTAAATAATTCTGACTATATTATACCATTTTCCTCGGATATCACGCTTTGTTGAAATAATAAAAAAGCAGAATTAAAAGCATGCTTACTCAATTGTTCTCATCAATCCTCACATCGTGATACGGCTGTGTATGACAGGCTATTGCTGCAATTTCAAAATTGTTTCGTCGATTCCAATAACAAGCTCCTCTTATCTAGCGTCCGTGAACACTCTATTCGAAGCAAATATTACCACGAAAGGAAAATGTGTCAAAACTGACGTATATCAGTGAATAAGTACTCGACATCGAGCACGACATGCGGAAAAGCCGTTAGCGTTTATGTTTCAGTTTTGAATTTTAATTTAAGAGTCGGAAGGAAAGATTATGATGACCTCTGTCGGCCAGTCGTGAACTATTAGTTTCGTTTTCTGCATATTATGGCTAAAATAAAGAGAAAATCGTATTCTAACTATGATATTTGTAATCAGCAATATCTAAATATTTTTGCTACAAAACGATTTTTTGAAAAAATGATCAAAATAAAAATTCTAGGGTGCGAACCACAGACTTCGATATATTACTAGACCACTAAGGGCCAATTTCACAAAGTCCGGTTAGATTAAAGCCCGTATCAGACTACGCATTGAAGATTGAGATTGAAGATTGAAGATTGAAATTTGACCAATCAGGACAAAGAAATTTTAGTTCCTTTTGTTCTGTGTGTGTGATTAGTCAAATTCCAATCTTTAATCTTCAATCTTCAATTTTCAATGCGTAGTCTGATACGGGCTTAAGGGTCGGCAGTGTGGCGTTCCTGCGGCTGAATTCAAAATCATTTTTGTTACCAACTTCATGAAATATATTTGTAATCATTTTCACACATTTCATTTATTGATTTAACACTTTACATAACAACAATTCAGAGACCCATATTGGGCGCAGATTTTTTGAGTTATTATGGAATTTTAGCTGACATTAAAAACAAAAAACTTCTAGATAGTGTTACCGGTCTTTCATTTAAAGGAAAACTATCTAAAGTTAATCACTTGTCAATTTGCACTACATTTCCTGACTCACCTTTCCATAAGATCCTTGCTGAATTTCCTGAATTAACTCATTTTGCTCCTATATCAACAAACAAGATTCATCAAATTGAGCATCATATTATT